CCTCTACCTGCGTGGAGCACTTTGATCTTCTCCTCTGCCTCCCCAAGCCGAGCGGCCAAAGTGACCTGTGCTTCCTGCAGCCCCCTGCAAGAGATGGGCATCACCAACATGCCAGCAGCACCGCAGCTGTGCCAACCCCACAGCCCCCCAAGAGCGCACGGAGACCCCCTCGCTGTGTCCCCTCCAGTACCCCATTGCGCGGTGACAACAGGGAAAGACCCACCGGTGGATGCCAGGACATGTTCCAGCCGTGTCACCCCTGATGTTGAGGGTTTATGGCCCCAAATGTAAAAAAATAAAACCACTTTGGGCTGAAGATGGTCCCTGAAACCCCTCTGATGGGGGAGGTGGCAGCCCATCCCCAACTATAATTAATTGGAGGGGGAAAGCAATCAGGGAAAAGTTATTCTTCATTACTTATGGGCTGCACTTGCCAGGAACTCACTAGCAGATATCTGCAATCCCAGGTTTAAAGATTCCTCATTTGTTTCCCAGTGCAGCGTGTTAAGGAATAACAACAAAGGCACCGGGAAAGCCGGGAGCCTCCAAATTAAAAGGTCATTTAATGAGGTTCATCCCCTGACCTGGATTTAACCCATTTGTCCAAGTAAAGCCACATGCCAGGGAGATGGCACAGGAGGGACCTGCCCTGGCTCTGCCCATGCCCATCACTGCCCAAAAACCATCTGGGATCAGGGATGGATGGACAGACGGACACTCGGAGCGCCGGAGATTGTGCATCGGGTTTCTGGACAGGACGTGTCTGCTCTCAACTGGGACAGCAAAGGGAAGGAGGAGAGGGAAGGACAGACAGACAGCCCCGTGCAGAGCGGGGACAGAGCCACGTGTTCCCACAGTGCCCGAAACGACCCTGTCCCCCGTACTCACGTACTTTTGCTTTTCTGCCTCATTTCTCTGCAGCAAGGTTTCGGCGCACAGCGCTTTGCCAGCGATGCCGGAGAGCGGGGGCTCGGCCGCTGCTGTGAGCCCGGCTGCTGGTGACGTCCCCTCTTTGCGCTCTGTTGGGGGGGACACATTTCAGGCTGGGGACAGCAGTGGTGGCCACTGGGGACCATGGGCCAGGGGACAAGTCCTGGCCATGAGATCTGCTGCATCCCAGGGATGCTTGGAGACATGTGGGGGGACTCGGGTGGGGTCTGCTACTGCCACCCTCATCCCACAGGATGGTTGGTGCCAGGGGGTACCTTTGGTGCCAACGATCTCCGGGTGCTTCTTCCAGGGGCGGCTGAGGTCCTTCAGCGGGGACGGTTCAGGCTCGAGGCGCTGGGGCCGCTGGCAGCCGATCCTCCAGGCTCCGGGCAGCCTCCAGCACAGGAGCGGGGTCTGCGGGATACGGGGACACGGTGCTGAGCAGCAGGGACACCCATCACCACCCTCTCCCACCTCCTTGGACACCCCACTGCCCATCCTCCTCACCACCCACCTCAAGGCAACCACCCTTCACACTCCACTTAAAACTAGAGTGGGTGTCCCCATGGCACCTGAGGGACAAATCGGTGACACCCGCAGCACCGGTGGCCCCGGTGGCACCAGCACCAGCCCGTTTGGGCGCAGACAATGGCGGTTTGTGCCGAGGTAAGCAGGTGCGTTGCGAGCCGTCCGTCTTCCCTCTGTCAGCATTACACCATCATTAGCCAGTGTCTGCTCAGCAGGGTGTGCCATTATGTCTCCCAGGGCTGATGTAATTATACATTGACATAATTAACCCAGCAAGCCCATTAAGCAGGCCAGCTAAAAATTCATCTATAATTATTTGTTGTGTGCATGCTAATGAGTCCATCTGCACCGCCATTGTACAACATGAACAAATTAATTTACAAGTCTGGATTTTTTAATAAGTTCAAGGAAATGCCTCCTATTGAGCCAGGTTAATATAGGTTTGTGGGATTTTGGGGGGTTTTTTTTGTTTGTTTAGGGTTTTTTTTAAGGAAAGAAAATAGATTTAAATTCTCCAGGGTGAAAAAGTTAAGACAAACAGGGAAGTGGGATAGAGTTGGGTGCGTGGCCTGAATCCAAGGGTAAAAAATAATAATGGTGATGGAAAAAATAATCAAACAACTGGCTGTCTCTGTTTGGAATGGGATATAGAGGAGATCTGCTCAGAGAGGCCCTGGCTGAGATGGCAGCGGTGCCAGATGACAGGGATCTGGCATCACCGTGGTCGTGCCGCAGGATTTGGGGTGGTCTGGCACCGCCCAGCCACAGCACTGGGTATCTTTGGGGTGAATCTGCCCCAAAAATGCAGGATTTGGGTTGTGATCCTCGCTGAGAGTGCCCAGCATGGATGCTCCTTGCAAATGAGTGAAACCAAGACATGTGGCCCTCAAGATGGGGTTTGGGGGGGTCACCAAAACCCCCCTGCTGCCCCCCCACCCCCGGCCACAGGGCTTCTCCACAGCCACTGCCAGACCCCGTGTGCCAACACCAAACCCCCTGGAGCATCCTTCTCCATGGGGAACAACCCCTCTGCTTTCTGCTGGATGCCAGAGATCCCGTGATGAGCCAGGATAAAGGGTTTGTGCCCAGAGCTTGGAGCCAGACGCGGGCGCTGAGCCCTGCTGGCACGCTGCCTGCCGGCTTTGGCACTGGATCGGTGACTCAGCTCCGGCTGGGACCCTCCCGCGCTGCTCATGGCACCCTTTGGCTCAGCACCCTTCAACTCAGCACCCTTTGGCTCAGCACCCTTCAGCTCACGGAACGCCGGAGCTCGGCATCCTTCAAGCTGGTTCCCCACCCAAGGATGCAGGAACACGCCATCGCTGGGTGTCGTGGCGATGCAGCGCGGCACCGAACCGGCCTGGATGCTCCCACAGCCATTAATAACCCTGGTAAGTAGGCAAGCTGAGATAACGATACGGCTAATTAAACCCCAGCTCGCAGGCTGCGGGGGCCGGGTGTCCCCCCACGCTCCCCCAGCCCCGGCGGCGTTGGCAGGAGGCTCCGTGCCAGCCGGTGAGCTGCCTCCGCCGGGATAAACGCCGGGGCAGGCCCCGTCCGATCCACACTGGTGACTTCTCATCTCCGGGATGAGAAATAATACGGGAGGAACTGGCCTGAGAGATAAAGCTCCGGGGATTTTCCTGGGGTCGGTGTTTCCCCTCCTGTGAGCTGCAGCCACGAAGCCAAAACGCAGCCGGGGCGATCACCCAGCGCGCTGCTCCCCATCCGGAGCCGACATCCCGGGGTGAAGGGGACGGGAGCGGAGATTTTAGGAGGGAAAAGAGGAAGCGGCGTTTTGGCTCCAATTCCTACATGAGCTGGGGCAGCGCTGGTGCGAAACGCCGGCTGGATTCACCACACCGGGCTAACGCCACCTGCCCAGCCCCGGAAAGAGCCCTGCTCGGCTGCGGGGCCGGCTCTGCACCGCACGCGAGGGGTTTGGGTGCCCCAAGGGGCTGCTGGGACTGGGCACCAAGCTCACACCATGCTCACACCATGCTTGCACCGTGCTCGTGCCATGTTTGCACCATGCTTATGCCAAGCTCACACCAGGCTAGCACCATGCTCACACCACGCTCGCATCACGCTCATGCCATGCTTGTTTTTTTTACCATGTTAGCACCATGCTCATGCCAAGCTCATGCCATGCTCACACCATGCTAGCATCAAGCTCGTGCCATGCTTGTACCATGCTTGCACTATGCTCACACCCCACTCACACCACGCTTGCACCAAACTCACATGATGCTTGCACCACGTTCGCACCAAGCTCATGCCATAGTTGCACCATGCTCACACTAAGCTTGTGCCATGCTTGCGCCATGCTCACACCAAGCTCAGGTCGTGATTGCACCATGTTCATACCAAGCTCATGCTGTGGTTGCACCATGCTTGCACCAAGCTCATGCCATAGTTGCACCATGCTCACACCATGCTCACCCCAAGCTCGCGCTATGCTCGCACTGTGCTCGTGCTGCTGGCGAACAAACCCTTCCACC